CTACAGCAGCAACAATTTTTATACACTTTGAAAATCTTGAGCTTAAATCAGTTATTGATGGATGGTACTGATCATTGATAAAAAGACATTGGTAATGTGACGATGACTGTGATCGACTGACTGACGACGACGACAGCAGCAACGACATGGTTGAGCGGCGAGCTAGGACATACATGCTAATCCGGCTGCAAATCAACAGATTAATCAAACAACGAATTTCTTAACAGATTATTGATAAATATATTAATAACAAATAAATGATCTGTAGTTGCATAATGATATTAGCAATAATTTTGGTGGGGCACTCGTTATGCAGAGACCATCGGCAGGATGGTCCTTCACCAGGTATTCTCTTAATGATTAGAATACCTTGTTCAGGAACGATATTAAGCGAGCAAGAACTCCTCGGGAAGAAGTTGAAGCTTCAGATAACATGCATTTAATGTTGTTCTATGAATGTGTGCATGAACCGATAAAGAAAGATCAGAGTAGAAGGATAGATAGAAGGAAGCTCTAGGTGTCTCCATATGGGATTCCTACCGATTAATGTCTAGAGGTCATGCTAGCAGTTACATAATACTTATAAAATGATTGGTTCAGTACTCTCCAAATCTTGATCCACCTTGTTACACTATAAGTCTATTTTAATCAAAGAGTAATTATGTCTTAAGCTACTCTTAAAATTGTTGGTATGAGTGTGTCTGCCTCCAAGACCATCAATGGAAAGCTGTTCAGAAGGATAGAGGAGCTTTGGTTAACTGGAAGGCTCTGGCTACCTGTTACTACTTTTAGAGAAATGAACTATAGGACACATGTGTGCCCATGCATTCGATGAGATACGTATCCGTAGTTTCTATGCCGTGAGGAATTATGGATATTATTGAGCTTTTCAAAGATATGAGGTGGCTCTGGACCATGAAGAGTCAATATTTTATAGGATAGTAATATATGAGGAGTAGGATTTATATAACTTTCTATTCTACACTTACCAGGAGCCGAATGCAAGGTGGAAGCTAGTAACAGGAGATGATCATTAGATCCTCTGTTTCCTTAGTTCCTTTTCAATGTACTGTGCTCCAGCGTTTTGAACTTAATTAGGAGCGTTATTTAAAGAATCTTATAATCTTAGTAATGCAAGGCCTGACATAGACATAGTAGTTTGCGTTAAAGTTAACCAGCCTTGATAAAGTAAACAATGCTTAATATGATTTAGTTTTTTCTAGATCTATTGTGCTGGATAGATGTGTACTTAGATTTATTGATATTATATTATTAGTACGTAAATTTGAGTGTATAGATAGACAAGTGCTAGGGATCTGGCTTTATCTTATGGGAGTTAAGTTGATCCTGTTAGTCGAACTGATGCGAAAGAGTAATAACTCTAATGATGCCTGACAACTGTTGGCTCTAGGAGCCCAGATCGGATCGGCAGTAACGTGGTTATGAGTGTCAACAGTCCTAGAAAGGTTAGCGCTGTGTTGGTATCGTTAGCCGTGAAGAAAAGTGAGTCGTCTTGAGGGTTTATTGGGGCCGAGTCAGTATCAAGAATTTCGTTATTGTTTGCTGTTTCAGTGGTATACATTCTGAGATATTAGCCGATGTCGCTCGAGAGATATTTATGTCGCGTTGAATGACATCTGTGGGTATTTTGTGAATTAATTGCCTTAATTTGTCGAGTCATACGTGTTCGTGATGTGATTTTGATCTAGGATAATCCGCTGTACCTGTTGATATACCAATCTGCATTGTTGCAATTGATGATATTAGATTGTATGAAGTGTTCTCCTTGGTAATTAGTTGCGTTGCTATGTGTCGTGTTTGTGGTTTGTGTTTGTGTGTGTGTGTGTAGTTTGTTGTCGATAGTTAGCAGATATAATAAGCATGTCTACATCAGTACTGGTTTGTTACTGTCGCATGGTTGTGTTAGCTGACTTTGTTGATGTTCGATCTTGATTTTATTTGATGGTATGTGTATTATTCTGCATCGTTTTTATCACACTAGATAGCGAAAAAGGAAGCTAGTTATCATTTCCGGCGCTTAGTTATATTGGGTAAACACTAGAGACACAAGTAACCAGCTTAGTCGCGGTTCGCGTTTGTTGTTTTGTTATATGCGCAATTGCTGTTGTTCAAGTCGTTGTTAGAGAGTATTGGAAGACGTAATTGATTGTGTCTCTGATATGGTGTCATAATGCTTAAGCACTAAGTCTAATTAAATAAAGGGTTTTTCATGATTTGACAGAAGTATCCATGTTTGTGCAGAGGCCAATTAACAAAATTGTGTCTACCTATTAATTTTATTTAATGAATTATGTCTGAAATTTATGGCATATTATAAAGAATTGAATTAGAATTATTAGTAATTGCTAGAGAGATATTGTGTGTGTTTAAGCTTAAGATGTATTAAGATAGAGATTGTTTCCTAGACACCCAGGTGTTTATACTCATGTGACTGTGTGATTTATATAGAAACTAGGAAGTGTGTGAGGATCGAGTGGAAAAATACTTCATATGTTAAGTTTAGTAATTGGTATTTGTGTGTAGCTGATATGTGAGAAGGGTAGGTGCGGCAAACTGTTTGTCGTCGATTGTGATATTTTTTCAAGATTTGATCTTTATACAATACAGTATGTGAGTGCCAAAGTGTAGTATAGGGAGGCTATAGAAGATTTCGAGTAAGGCTCTTATACGGTTGGTTAGGCAGATGAGTGAAGATTGCAGTCCCAAGGGAGAGACTGTAATTAGTAAGACATGGTACTCAGGTGTATTAGAATTACCGTTCCTTCTTTTTAATAGGTATATAGAGTAGGACCATAATCTTATCTCTGGTTTTGTTAATAGAGAGAATTTATAAGTTACTACAGTGGATATCCCGTTTAAACTATGAAATAGTCTTGTGATATATTGGTATAATATATATGTGTACTATCGAAACTTCTCTATAAGTCAAGTTTATATGTATTGAGTGCTTTTTGCTTGAGGTCGATGTGGGTATTCTTTGTAATGTGTTCAGATGAAGTTTATGATAGAGATGTACATATTTTCTCGAGGAGTTTTAAACATCTACTCGACCTGATGGCGTTTATTGTTGGCTGTGATCGTGTGTTTTGATCTTTATATATATGACTGATTTTGCATTTATAGTACGAGAACCTCGGTGTGCTTACCAATTAGTAATTTAATGCATGATAAAATTAATATAGAAAAATAAAAGAAGGGTTGAAGGCTTGAATCGATTGTTGCGTGTATTTGGAAGCATAAAGTTTGTTATTTTTGTTGGATGGTAAGGTTTCGTGGGCCTCAGGTTGAGCCTTTGCTGCATAAATCTTATGTAGTAGAGTGGTGGGTTTGAGTAAAGGATGGGATAATGTGGTGCGGTGTCATGTGATGTGAAAATTGTGTGATGTATTTTTTTTTGGTTATGTTGTTAGTTGTGTATGTGAATGGAGATCGTGAGTCGGGTTATTGAGTGTTTTATGTCTGTACAGTTTTTGTAGAATAATCTTTGTATGGCTGCGTATTAAGCGGATGTTTGCATGGTTCTTCTAGAGAAGTTGTTAGCTGAAGTGATGTTGGTGCAGGTTTGTTTGTGACATTTTCGGATGACCCTAGCACGAGGCTAAATGTGGTTGTAACGGTTGTTTGATTATATATTTCTATTTAGCCTGTTGTTTTCGTTTTATTTTTGTTCTTTGTGGTTTTAATCTGTGCATATGGTTATGGAGGTCTTTTAATAAGACTATAGCTGTGAATGTTTAGTATTTTGATGTTGATTAGAATATAGATGAAAAGTAATTATGAATGATAATGTTTGGTTTCAGAATTGAGCTTTATCTGGCAGATGTACATAAACAACTCAAAGTAAAGAAGGTTTATGTCGCTGTAACATTGAATCATACCCTGATTTGTTCTTATTTGTGGTAATCTCCGTGACAAAGTTTCGTACCATGTGTACTTGCTCTTATCCTTCTCAATTTATTTGCCTCCCGTCTCATCCGCCACCTCACGACGTCCCATATCAGATCGCATCTCAAATCTCTTGCAAATTCATGCATATGGTCTATGAGATGCGTCTAGCGATGCTGATGGAGTTTATTCACCAGTGGGCCGATAGGTCATGGCCGAGTCAGCTTCACTCATCTCACCTGATTACATTGTCCCTCTTCCTTATGTATCTGAGCGAACTCCAAGTGCGACTTTCTAATTGTTGAATGAGGTCCCACAACGTATCCTCTGCGCTACAGCATGAGGAGCTCTCTTCCTCCTTAGGCTGCTGGTGTATTATTGACTCGTTATTTATACGACTATCTGGTAGTCCCTCATGGTAAAACCAGTCGATATGTGGTAGTAGTGTGTGCAAATAGGGAACACTGCCAGAGGTTCGAGAGAGGAATAGAATTTTGAAATTGCACTATAAATCCCGATCCGAGTGTATTAGACTGATTGATATTTATTCTTCGTACTGCTACTTGTGAAACCCTGCTCCGTTCCCCGCTCTTCACTTCCCCTCTGTGGTATTTAAGTCCGCTCATTTGGCAGCTTGGAAAAAGCTTATGAATGTTATAATCAAGGCAGCGGATATGTTAATCGCTAGACCAACATACCGGTAAACTCCAACTTCCTAGGTTCCTTTAATTGACTGGTACAGGCGGTCCTTCCCTGACCACGTTCACTAGCAAATCAGAAGCCTTCTATGTTTAAGTAAAATTACCTGAATCACTATGACACAAGTAATCATATTACCTCCAGTGGCACAGGAAAGGCACTTCCACGCCTGCACCTGTCTTGCTTAGATGTATCAATGTTTTATATTTCTGAGAGATGATGTAATTGGATTGGTAGAATGAACATGTTGCTGTGTCCATTCGATTACTTGTGTGCTGAGGAAACCCCGTCTGTAGCTCGACGTGCTACATACACAAAAGACCAGAACAGTCTGAACAGCGCAAAGAGGACACAGAACATCTGCAGAAGTCAGAGTGATGCTAGAACACCTTTACCTCCAGCTCCAGATTCCACCTGCGTTTGCCACTGTTGACTCGTTCAATAAGAGGCTCCCACACTGCGTGGATCTCATTAAAGTAGTTCACCTGCAGACACACAACAAGTGTCAGTCAGCATTATACACACATGATAAAACACAGCAGCTGCTCACACACATCATTCATTCTTTCTGCTTCGCTTCAGTATCTACTAAAATTCAGAAACGTCACAGTAAATAAATAAACAACTTTAAAAAAATAATTTAAAATGTCTGAACTAAGGAGAGTTTCTCCAGGATAGGTCGTATTACTTCATCATCACCATCAATTGAGGTGGACAGGTTCAGGTTCAGGTTCGGGTGTGATGGAACATTTCTCACCTCCAGTGTCATGTCACCTCTCAGCTGCAGTAGAGACGACCAGTTTTTTGCCGACCCGTTGAAGGAGGACTCTGCCAGCAGCAGAGGGACGGTCCGATGACCCAAACCAGACTCCAGAGTCACCTGCACCACCTGTAGGGCAAAAGCACTTGGTCAACAGGAACCAGATTGGACCACCGTATTCTAAAGTTTCAGAGTCTAAGCTGGCATATCATACCTTGACCTCTGCGGCGAAGCTCTCGCCCTCATTGCGTCCATCCTGCTCTCTGAAGCTCTCTGTGACCTCAGTGGCCTGGTCCACTCCCAGGAACCAGTAGTTACAGCCATAGATGTTCATCACCGACCAGAGGTCGCCGACGTTGGAATTAGACTCTGGATTCTGCTCGTCACGCTGCTTTGCTGTCATGGCGGCTGTTATCGTCATCACTGTGTTGAGGATGAACGGAGAGATCTGCAGGACAGGCGCGCTGATGATGAGTTCACCGACCCCTTGGAACCCCCGCCACCATTATTATAGCAGTGACATCACACAGTGACAGCACTATGCAAATGATCCAAACTACATTTTTAAAATCAGATTTTAGAACAAACTGTCTGTCTTAAAGTGAATTTCCTTTTCATATTTGCCATAAATTTAATGTATTTTTAATTTCAAACATTTTTAAAAACTGTGATTAATGAAATACCTTAACAATGACTTCCTCTACTGTCACAGACCCACTCAGTGGTTGGTTGGGCTGGGTTTCGGTTTCCAAGGCAACCGAGCAGGGCCTCAACACCTATTGGACGAGAATATACTCTGTATTTACTTGAATTCTCCGTATTTAAAATCTTTTACTAGTTTTTGATCTTGTGAATATTCCTGTATTTTTGTGTTTATCTGATGAAAATGTTGTATTCTGGCTCTACTGTAGTATTTTGTAAAATATACTGAATGGAATACTACAACCTGAAATGTATCCCATTGTCTTATTTCATGTAATATTTACATCTAATCTTGAATGGAAGAATTATATTTGTTATTACCCATTGTATTGAATTGGAATGTGAACCTGTTGAATTTCTTTAATCAGAACCTAATTATTTAAAGGCACTTCTGATAGCAGTTAAGCACAGAGTGAATCTGATGAAGCAACATGTGAAACATGTAGTTTGCTCCTTTTTGTTTTGTTTTTAATCACCAGTACTGAATACTGGCACTTTGTCTACATGAGTACCCTTAGTTCTTATTGAGAACGGCCACCACTGGTGAGCATGGCTGTACCCACAACTGTTTTTTGTGTTCAGTAGGAACCAATGAGCCAAAGACAATATTAAGAGACTGACTGGCATGTTGTTAGTTTGAGTCTGAATATGAGATTTGTTGACAAGGAGAAAACTGATCCTTTAAACCGTTAATGTGTAGGACCTGCCGCGAGCCCACGTGCAGTACTATAATCTTACAGTGGTGACGCCGTTGGCCTCCTTGTTTCGGATGAAGGGGCAGGCGAGGACTTTCAGCTCCCTCAGGTTGGCTCTCATGTTCTGTGTACTGTTCTCCTCAGTCTGCAGAGTGAAGTCACACTGAAAGGAGGCCACGAGGGCGGGGGCGTCAGCCTTCATCAAGCTGGCCACAAACACCACCTCGGGGTCCACCACCACTGCCCGAAAACGAGTCCTAACCATCGAGGCTGCATAATAATAACAAAAACTAAATGAGGCAACATTTACCTTTGAGATTATATATAATGGATTGTGAACAGCAATATATCAGCAAACTACTCTTTCTGTGAAGACGTAGTGGAGTCACATGGTGTCTCTCTCCCATAACACATATAGGAATCCATACCACTCGACTGTTCGCGCCTTTTCTGAATAGGTAAATATAGATATTACATAACAAGAGATACTGGCTACAGCTGAGAGGACCATAGCATAGATATTATTACACTACATTGGTGAATTAAGGATTTTATTTCCACCAACAGTACAACTGAATAAATGATTGAGATAAGACAGAGATGGTTTTGGTGAGTTTTTGGCTATAGACTCTGGTGTAGAGTGATATTACGGCTATTTCTGGTTAAACTTTAGGTCACTGTAGGGATCCTTTCCATAATTGCACTGAACCTAACCTAAGTCTTTGGGTCTCTTGCTCTCACCGGGCTTGGCATCGGCCCGAGGCTCAGCAGTCTGTCTTAGTGGCAATCTGTCGGTCGGTGCAGAGGCGGAGGTTGGAGATGAACTCTGCGGCAAAGCCTGCAGGAAGAAATCTGCGACGGCCATCAGAAACTCCACACTGGCACACAGGTAGAGTTTCTGCAGAACAGCCACCACCTCCTGTTCTCCTGCGCTCTGTCGATACGTCACATCGATCATTGCCTCAGGGCTCTCCTCATCTCTCCGACCGACCATCCTGCAGCCCCCAAGAAAAACCAAAACACAAAGGGTAAAGGTCAGAATGAGACCTTAATCACTATGATTGCACCTTGATTGATTACAGCCAGCCTCTTCCTATTGGAAATCATTCAGTATCAGTAACAGCAGAGTCTGGAATCAAACAACCTGTACCCAAACTGAAGTTCTTTTCGTTCTTATTACAAACCAAGATGGGGGTAATAACAACATCACACAGAGAGAAAGCAGAGGCTATGTGACTGATACCGTGATGTCACCCTCTCCATGCCAGTCCTCAGGTCGTCCAGTGTGCAGGCGGTGAGGATCGTGGTCACCTCCATGCTGCCATTGGTCAGGATCTTTCCTGAAGTCTTCAGTTGGTGGAGGGTGAACTCGCCCAGTCTAAGGTTCTCCTGGTGCTGCAGATCTGGGGGCTGCAGGGAACAGGACCAACAATCAGAACCAAGAGTGCTGAACCTATTAGGCTCTGGAATTCTCTTTCCCGTAGAAGGTAAGGTGTACATTACCTGTTTTTAAATCATTGCTTCAAACGTATCTTTACAGGAAAGCCTTTTGTGCTGCCTCACTTATATTTGGTGTTGCTGTTGTTTTACTTTCTTCTGTTCTCATATTGGAATATGATATATATTTTATTGATCACCTATCCTTCATCTTTGTTTTATTCTCCTGTATTTTGTCAAGCACTTTGTAACCTTGTTCAGATAAGTACTAAAAATAGATTAGTTATCATATTATTATTATAACATTTACAGAACACCGAGAGAACACTAAGAGCACGTACTCCAGGAATCTTTATGTGCTGACCTACCTGTTTTAGATCGTCACTGTACAGAACCAGACCAAGAGACTCAATGTTAAAGTTAAACTTCATTGTCTCCAGAGCTTCATCCTGCTCTTCATCACTGCTCACAGTCAGCTTCCCAATATTACCTGAAACACAGATCACATCAACAAAACACCTAAAACTGAACCAGCAACCAACCCAGTATCAGTGTGTCAACATAATGCTGAACCTGTGGTGGGGCCACCAGCTGCTCGGAGCAGCACACTGGCCTCCTGTCTCGGGGCGGTGGGCTCAAGACTGCCGGCCTCTCCCAGATTCTCCATCAGGATCATCAGCAGCACCTTCAGGTCGTCTTGACTCAACTCCACCTACCGATCAAGCAAAAACACCACCCGGCTGATTACAGACAGCTGTTACATGATGTAAATCAAATACTCATTATCCTCTAACAGTCTAACATTTAGGTGAATCCCCTGTCAATAATTACATTTATCTACATTCACGCCTCGCAGACTCATAAGTCAGATCACTACAAAGTGAACAACACAGACACTACACTACACTGATGCTACAATTCAAAACTACTACACTGAAACTGTACCTTCGGTGGTGTACATGTCAACTGGTTGAGAAAATGAGAACAGAGCTGTTAGAGTCTGCAGAGATTACAGGCTTTAAGGCAGTCAGTCAGAAAGTTGAATATGTAAGTCCACCCTGACTGATGATGATGTGATGATGTTAGTCGAGGTGTCCTACCCCTGCTACACAGTGTGGGAAATGCCGACACAGAGGGTTGTCTGTACAGCAGCAATCATAAACTCTTGGCCTGATGAGACAAACAGTCTCTGTCATCTGCTAAATGACTAAAACAAGTACATATCTGTACAGAGTCTGTATATTAAAACAGTCATCTCCATGAGGTCACCCACAGGTTTGTAAAGAGCTGTGGTGAAGCTCAATGTGGTCGGCTCAGGCTGTCGCCATGTTGGCAGTCCAGACTCCACTGGCTCTCGACTAATCCAAAAATGGGTGTGGGTGGAGCTGAAGTGGCTGAATGAAGCCTGGTTACTGAAAACAGCCGCCTGTGATGACACCCACCTGTTACTCAAAGCCCATAATTATGCATAACTTTAAAGGTAGGGTAGGCAATCCTGTTCAGAAGCACATTTTGTTATACTGGGTGAAATGGTCCCTCTGTTGTCAGAGGAATCAATTCGTTATGTCTT